AACTCTCTAGGATACAGGGACAAGCTACTATGAGTCCAAAACCGCCAATTTCAGGTATTCATATGAAAATTACAGCAGGCCAAAGTAGTATCACAAGTAGTGAGACTCTCGAGTAACTACCAATCCTGTGAGAGACTTGCCAGTTTTAGTGTGTTTTGGTTTTTAAACCGGCAAGATCTAGTCTTTCAAGGTTCTGGTTTTGTTTGCTTTTTCCATCCCCCTTTAAACTGCAGAACCGTTACATTAGTTGCAGAGTCACAGACATAAGGGAGCACAATGTCAGAATAAGAATTCCCCAGAACCATTCCTGATGGTTCTGTTTGCTCAAAGGCCAGAAGGATTCAACGACACAGAAGCCTACTGCAGATCTTTAATCAGGTCCACGGTAGCCTAGTTTATGGTAAGAATAATTTTATTTGCCTGCAGATAATGGAGTATATCCAAAAGGAAACGGTAATTCACATACCAAAGATACTGAGGAGCCAAAGATGAGCAATTTTTCCCATAAGGTCTTTGGAGAATTGTGTTCCATTCATTCATCCTGAGCAGAAGGAATGGCTGTGCTCATTAAAAACATTCAGATTCTGAACATTCCTGAAGCTACAAGAAGTTCTTGCAACCTGTGGCTGGATGGACATGGAGGCACAGGTAAGCAGAGCAAAAGACCCTGGGCCAAAGTCTCTAGCAGGACTTGAAGCCAACTCTGGCCCATACCAGATTGTCCTAGTTAGAACAGCTGGGACCAGTTCATCACTGGATGGATGTAACCCAAAGCTGTGTATTCTATAGCCTTCCATGCCATTTCCCAGAAACTGTTATCAATAGACTATTTACACCTTCTGCCCAGAGCAGCCTGACTCCTCAGGCTATAAACTGGGTGTTAAGAGGTCTGCAAGACAGGAGGGTGCCTCCTTGTCCTCACACTCTTTTTGTGGAACTCTCCGCCCTGAGGGAAGTACTGAGCATTCCTGCCTGAACTGGAGAATATATAATCTTGGAGTCTTGGAACTTTTTTAAGCACTCGTGGGATCCAAAGGAAGTCTGTAGATCACTGCTCTCAACCAGACTGTAACCACCACTCTTGACTGGACTGCAACCACCACTTTTCAACCAGACTGCAATAGCACTCTCACCAACAGGTTTTCCCCCTCTCCCTTTACTTTGGACTCAGGGGGCCCAAAGAACACCACTCTGTTCATGCCCCAGGGTGCTGGGTTATACATTTGGGTTTTGTGGGTTAAAACCAATTGTCTGTATAATCATACTTATTGTATTATTTTATTAAATTGTTATTCTGACTTATAATCTCTCTTTTGAGTTGAGTTCATTTCCCCTGCTGGTTTACCTTTAAACCAGCACACAGATGCACTGTTAAGATCAGTGTGGAAACCCAAGGCCACCAGAAGTAACATGAAGGTTCCAAAAAATAAAGACCTATCATCCAAGATGAACTGTCTACAGATGCAACACTGCTCCACCTCACGCAAGTGAGCTCAGAGCCCTGGCACCAAAGACAAAAAAAGCAGCACAACTGGGAGAGCTGGCTGGAAGCTGTAGAACTAGCAGGATTATGCTTCCCTCAGCCCACATATGGATGCTGCAGCAGCCAGTACCAATGCAAATGCTAGCAGAGGCAACCAGGATTCTTGGAGAAGAATCATCTCCTTGGCAGATGAGATGGAACACACAGTGCTGGGTAAATATCTTTAAAAGTCCAGAGCAGATGACGGAAAAGGTGTTTCTGAGTCAGGAAACTGTTCTGAAAGTTCCCTTCTGACAGGCAAATACAGCTTGGAGATGATGAGGCTTCCTCTGGTGTTGGGGGGTTTTTTGGTTATTTTATAAACCATCTCCAGCTCGCATTCAAACGAGAATGAATTCCACAGAGCTCAAGGGAAACTGCCAAGATGACAAAGAAGAACACATGAAGGGAACAGCATTCTTCAGACACCCCAGGAATAAGTCACCTGTTCAGGACAGCTGATAACCCACAACTCCACAGCAATCCAGAGAGGACGAAAGCACTTCATCTTGCCAAGGTCATGCAAGAGGAACTGAGGACCACACAATACACTTTCGCAGGGGACAGCAACTAAAACAAAGAGTTACTGCTAGGGCAAGACATGTATGACCTTGATTACTTAACAGCGCACAAGTATCCACGCTTGTCCATATGCTGAATACGAGCAAGTGCTTGAAGAACATACTCTTTCTATATACAATACAAACTTACACAGGCTTAGAATATCTGACACTGCAGGTTACCCAAGTCATATGTTCTGCATACAAGCACATACAGTTCTACACCAACTGAAACATTCCATTTCACTGTAACAGGGCTCGCAGCCATCTTCATTAAGCACAGCTCAGAAAAATACATTATCTGACTCAGTTTTAAATAATTAATGCCTGTAGATTGGTTTTTAAACACTCACTACACAACTCACACTGAAATTGAAAAAAGCATTGCTATAATTCATTTCTAACACATTTTCTTAAGGTGAAAAGGTAAACGAGACATGGGCAGGGCTCCTCCTTGCCCTGCAGCAAGGCATCAGGGAGGCCATGTGGATGAAAGTCATCATGAATGAAAGCCTGAGGAAACCAAACTCCAGCGCTGCTTTCACTGAATTGCTATTATTTTTATCAGCCCTATACTGCTAAAAAGTGTACATGCTACTTCCTTCATAAACCTCATATATATATATTAGCAGTTTAGCCCACTAAATTATACTTATTACTAAAAATAAGCAGCATGTTTGAAGCCTGAGCCTTCATACTTACTTAAATTATACTAACAAGCTGTGGAAAAAACAGAAGTGAAGACTGGAGATACATGCTGGCTTGCACAGAGTCAGACATAACCAGAGGCATGATTAGTAACTAGACTTCTGTTTCTATATTTAAAGAAAAATGAAGATTCCCACACAAGTGGAGAACTAATTCTCAATATTGTCAGCACCATGTGTTCCAGAGACTGACATCACAGATGAATTTTTAAAGGTTTAGTTCTAACAGCAAGGTAAGAATAACTTGAAAGCTTTTATTAGTCATAAAGTTAGGGGTTTAATCATAAAGTAACAAAAAGGGCCCAACTCTAACTTGTTAGAAACACAAAGAACTGTGTCCTTCCTGGGTTCCTGAAAAACACTTCAAATTGTGACTAACATTGACAATTGCTTGCTTTCATATTCAACTGAAGAAACAAGGTGCGAGGGGAAAGGAACTGTTCCCTCCAGCATCAAAACTCCCCTAAAAGCATGGGAGATGCACACTTAGTGAAACCATGAAAGCAATGACAGACAATAGTTGGCCTTATTCACACAGATCTACATCATGATGTTCTACAAGAAGCATAATGAAAACACTGTTTTCAAAGTGGATATTGTTTAATCCTGTCAGCCTGACAGTACAAAACCACCACAGGAGAACGAGTAACCTTGTAACTGCAATAAAGCAAAGGATGAGGACCATCACAACTGATGCAGGGTTTAAACACCTGCACGTATCTATAGAAACCACGTCTGATAGAGCCAAACACAAGGATGGATACGAAGCCAGTGCTTCCCACAGTAAAAAATCTAAAATACAGATCTAGCCAGGAGATCAAACACCAAATCCCCATAATTTCAGACTCCCTACCAATAGATGTGTGCAGTATACAAAGTCTCCAGTATATCAGGGCCCATGATACCTCTGTACTGGCAATAAAACACAGTAGCTAAGACTTCAGGGAATCCCTTAAAGTAACAAAACCAAAAAAGAAATCAGGTGAAAAATTGAACTCCCTGCCCATTACTCAGCAGTTTTCATAGACAGCAGTACCAGAAAACTGCTCCTGTAAAATATTAAAAAAAAAAAAAGAAACTTATTCATCTTATACTTGATTCCACAATCAGGTTGCAATTCTACATTTTGGTATCAGTGATCTGTTACAATGTAACATTGTGGTGACTTCCCTCGGAGTAAGTAAGTGCACAGAAAGTCACTGTCCATGCCAGTAGGACAGTGGCAAAAAAATCGAGTCCTACCACAACCAAATGACCTTGAGACAGAGCCTCCAGGAGAATTTTAGTTAGCACCAAAAGCATCTATAGGAGCAAGTGTTTCTGCTACAGACTAAACATAGTTGCTTCCCAAGTATTTAATTAGTCAAGCCAGAACATTTTACAGTTGTTCTCAGACTGATTGTTCTATCATACCCCACCCTTGACCTGCATCTTCTCCCTTTCCCTAGGCAGGTAAATGTACATTTTGCTATTTATTAGGCAGGGTATACCACCAACACTTTCCTAAATGAGCATATCAATGCTCCCCCAAAGAGTCACTGAATCTTTGAAACCTAACTCCTAAAAATACTGTCCCATAGTTGATGTGTTTTATGAACACAAAAATTCCACTGGTTTACTATAAAAATGAAATCAAACAAAAAACATACCCTAAATGTACTTCAAGAAGTACAAAAGTAATGCAGATGTGAGTTTAAGTCATTAAATTCTGTCTACTAAATAAAATTGATATTAAAAAGCTACATGAAAAAATACTATCTCGTCAAAACTCTGCATCTGCTTTAATAAGACATGAAGTGACCTGAAGAATCAGGACCATCCAAGCTGACAGAAGTACTTCTCTACCTGTTCAGTGCACCCACCTCAGCCTTCACAAGTGGAAAAAAAAGGCTTGGAGGAGGGGGTACAAAATAAAATTAACGTGCACTAGGAAACGCAGGTGTTGTGAGGGTGGGCAGTCTAATACTTCCTATTGTACTAGTTTGTCACATTATCTAAGAAAAAAATGAACATTTCCAGCCATTGTTGAAATAAAACTCCAAACAAGACTGTTACTGATCATTTTTATGTTCTTAAATGGCTGGTTTTGCCATAGCCAACGTAATTATAGCAGGCAGCCATAACAGACAGAATTTTCCTCCACAAAGTTTAGTATTATATAATATACATTAAGCAACTTGTGACATATAAAAATACAACATTGGAACTTACAGTATGTAACAAAATCCTTCTGAAAATCTTTCCTAGAGTCGACAAAGGCTCTTCCTTTTTCCGTTCCAACTACAAACACATCTGTTTCATACAGAGCAATACAGGCAACTTCTGCCTTGGACTTGGTAAGTTCTTTACACTAGAAAAAGAAAAAGCTTTTATTACTATAGTTAAGATACAGTTAACAGAAATGTATGTGATATTATGCTGCCAGCATCCACCTTCAGAAGGTACTAGAAGCAACATAACACCAGCCAGTAGCAAAGCACAATTTACACACCTGGAATGCTTTTCGTCAGAAATCTTAAAAAGCGCTGTAGATGCATTAGTGAAATTAAGGCCTTGTCTAGAGTCAGATATTGCACTGTTTCTAATTAAAATTATTTATGACATCGATTCATGTGAAATTATCACTTTCATGTTAATCATCCTGAGTGTCTCACTCCACATAACAGATGACAAAGATCAGAACACACTCTTTCCTTTCAACCACGCTGTACCTGAGCAATCAACAAATATTTCCTATTTATTCAACAAAATAATTTTTAAAACAACCACCACAACAAGAAACAAGATGACTGTTAGCATGATTTACCACAAGCAGAGACAGAGTAATGGCTGGTTGGACAGCACACAATAAGGTACAATCCACCTTTCCTGCTGCCCAGCAGGAAGCAATATACTGCTGTAGTCCTGCAAATGCTAAGACAGAGTTATGATGCAGCAGATTAATTTCTCTACTAACCATTGACTCAAGTCCTGACATGAGGAATTTAACCACCATTCTGCTTTCTAAGGATTCCTCATCATGGATGGATGCTGCTGGTGCAGTAGCTTGAGCCATTTTCCTCCTATAAAATGAAAGAAAAAAACTTTTCAGATACACACAACAGTCAAGAAAACCTCTCATGCAAGCAGAGGAAAAAATAAATTCAAAACCCCATAGAATACAGCCCACTACACACAAGCAACAAAACAAAGAGGTAAATTAACAGGAGAAAGTGCTTGCTCTTCTATTCTTTCATGTTTCCTGCTGTTTTATAAAAGCAGAAGCTAAAAACTCAAAAGTTACAATGTTGTGCCATGACCAGGCCACAAACCCTTTGTGCCTAGAAAGATGCATATTAATTGATTAGCTAAATTTACATAAATTTCTCTTTCTAAGTATGTTTGCAACTCCAGCAGTCTAGATAAACACAGCAACAAACACTGGCAGTAACATACAGAAATGGCAAATCATAATTACGATTCAGGTATTAGAACAATCTTACCTGTAATTATCATGGCCTATTTCAAAACAAACCAACATCACACTGCCCCAAAATCACGGCCTCAGAGACTACAGTATCAGTAACCAGAACATGACATTCTTATTCACATATTCTTCAGTTGTAGGATTAACTCAAAGTTAAGTAGTCCCAATTAAGGTGCCAAAATTACAAACTGAATTTCAGCAGTGACACAAAAAAGAGATTTAAACTGTTTTCCTGTAGGTCATTCAAGAGACTTTCAACTTTTTTAAGACATAAGTAATAATCAAGACTAGTTTACGCTTCTGTTGGCAGTCTCTAACACTGTAATTTCACTATTAGAAAGCAGGCATTTATTCAGCGCAGGGTTCATAGGGGATCTCTCCTCCTAACACGCACATCCTCAGCACATCCCCAGCATCTAATGCATCAGCTTATATCTATGTAACTAATACACATTCATTACATTTCCTGGAGCTCATACATATATGCTAAACATTCCCATGAATTCTTTAACATATTTAAATGACTTCTCAGAACTCATTTAAATTAGAGTAGGGGTTTCTTGAGGGTCTCTGGTTGCTGTTCAGGGAACATTCCATTCCTCAAATCATCCTTTTATGATCATCAGCTTCCTAAAAACAGTTTCTTCTCCTTGAATGCATTCCACCTATGTGGTCTGGCCAATGATGCCAATTTTATGCCCCAAAAAGGCACAGAGAGACTGCTCAGAGACAGAGTTTTTAGTCTATAAGCAGGGGGGTATTTATTGCCAATCAACACTGGGGAGCTCCCAGCTCGCACTGGACAAAAGAGCTCCAAAGCAGGCAGTGAACAGCTGGAATATTTATACAATTCTTGTTAGGGGATGACATCATTTTACATGAATATTCATAGTATTGCAACATCTAGTTATAATATTCATAACAGGTGGAGTTAGGGCGGAGTCAGGGGCACGGTCTTCATTTTGGGGAGTATCTTGGTGGTACATCCGGTTATTTCGGCCTCAGGGGTCTTGATTTTACTCCTCTTACTCAGGTAAACTCTTGAACTCTTGAACTCTTGTGCCTCACTTCACATGTATTTGGCAGGAGTTTCTGATATTCGGCAAGAGTGCCTAGGCTTTGACTCTTCTCCTTTCCCTTATCTCCCTCTGTTTTTCTTCCATATGTCTGTTTTATGTGTATGCTAGCATTTTTGGTTCTCTCTGTTTTCCTGTGTATTTTACTTTATGTTCTTTGGGTCAATGTGTTCAGCATTCCTTAATGAGTTCTTATCTCCGTTGTTCTTGAAACTCAGTTCCCTATGCCTTTGCTCAGAGCATGCATTCTAAGTTAACTCTCTAGGTCTTGTTTTGCTACACTACATTAGCTTTTCAGGCCTTGCTCTGCTTCACCAAGATACGCCTTTTTATCAGCTCTTGCTCAGGCACAGTCTTAATTCTCAAGGCTAAGATATTCACTTCCACACATGGGGGAATACAGGACTAGGCACTGTCTGTTAAAGGAATTCACAAGACTAAGCACTATTTGCTACAATTAAAGATTTTTTCCAACACCATTACCAATGCTACACAAAAAGGCCAATTTAAGAGCCATCCTTTCAATAGAGTACCACATATGATATATCTAATAATCTTAAAACTTCCAGATCAGTTAATATTAGTTATAATTATCTATAAATCCTTTAACTTTGCCAAGATGAGCCTTTGCCCAAATAAAGCCTTGTAACAATGAACAAAGCCTTGCAAAATACATTCCTGCCTGTGGTTTAACCCCAGCCACAACTCAGCCCCAAACAGCTGCTTGCTCACTCCCCCCTCTGGTGGGATGGGGAGAGAACTGGAAGGGTGAAAGTGAGAAAACTCGCAGATTGAACAAAGGAGTTTAATAGTGAAAGAGAAAGCTGCACAGACAAGCAAAACAAACCAGGGAATTCATTCCCACTTCCCATCACAGGCAGGTGTTCGGCCATCCCCAGGACAGCACGGCTCCAGCACATGTAATGGTGACTTGGGAAGACAAACGCCACTCTAAACATCCACCCCTCCCTTCTGCCCCCTGCTCTGGATGCTGAGCATGACTGCACCCGGTCTGGGATATCCCTGGGGTCGGTTGGGGTCAGCTGGCCCACATGTATCACCCCAACCCCTTGTGCACCCCCAGCCTCCTTGCTGGTGGGGCAAGGAGCAGAAAAGGCTCTGTGCAAACACAGCTCAGAGATAAGGCACAATGGAACTGTTTAGAGACAGAATTTAGCCTTTAAACAGCAAGGTATTTATTTAGGCAACATTGGAGAGCAAGCCAGCTCGCGCTGGACAAACTTGCTCTGCCTTCTCAGTGAAAAGAGACATGATTATATACAATTTCTACGAGGGATTACAACATTTTCACATACATATTCTTATAATTGCAACATCTAGTTATAATATTCATAATAGGAGGAGTCTGGGTGGAGTCTGGGGTGGAGTCGTCTTTTTGGGGTGATGTTTGGTGGTTGTTCCTGTTTCTTCAGCCTCACGGGGTTGTATTTTCACTCTTCTTCCTCGGTTGAACTCTTCAACTTTCTTGATTTTCGCTGACTCCATGGTGAATTTTGCAAGACTGGACTCAAGTCCCTATTTCACCCCTTATCTATTCGTTTTCTTACCCTATCTTTATTTATGTAGGTGTGTGAGCATTCTTTTGGTGTACGGTACCATCTAATCCCTAAGCCCTGGTTTCTGTCTCTAGCTAAGCATTACATTCTTCTGAGCAGGAGGGTCCCCAGATCAGTATTGAGAGTTAACTCTTTAGGCCCTAGCTCCGTTTCAGTTGGTCAAAGTGATGGTTGCAGTCTTGATCCATCACAGGTGGGGAAAGCCCATGAAACACAAAGTTCAGTGGGTTAATATACATTCATTTCGGGGGGAACACCCAGGTACCTCATCTGAGGCAGGAAGTTTTACGCTTTCTGATGCAACACTGTGGGTCATGCACAGTCCTCTTGGGCAAGGCCCCAGAAATTAGCCTAGGGGTGCTTCAAGGGTCTTTGATGATTTATGGCCCCTTCTAAGACATGACCACTGTGTCTCACACCATCATATGTAGCAGGATGCTCTGCCTTGTTAAGGCTTATCTGCCTTGGCCCGGAATCTGGTCAGAGGATCCGAACAAACCAAGCTCTCTGTGGTGAGCTACTCCTGGTGCCATGGTGCTGCTTTTACCAGCCTAATTTACCATCTGCAAACACACATCCTGCTTTTTGAGGCGAGATTTGACAGCTAAGCTGCTAGCTGACCTGGAGATACATGACTAACAGTCAATCACTTCATATGGCAGATTCTTTTACAGACTTTCTTGAAGTGTGTGCAGCTTCTCCCGTGAAGCAGGGGCGCCTCTTCATGGCCACTCCCCATGGGTTAAGTGGTTACAGAAACCAGCCAAACAAGCAAAGGAGGTGCGGTTACACAGCAAGGTAAAAGATTGCGCATACCCTCAAAGGAGTTCATAAAGCGGTCACCTAGAACTTTGGGGGCTCCAGATGACCACCAGAGATCCTCCATGAAGCCTCTCAGACACCTTATAAGGATATGTATATATGCTAATTAGTGTTCTGAAATGTCATGAATATGTAACAGGATCCCAGGAAACACAAATTAATGCATCCGGCATGGTAATAAAGAATGCCTGCCTTGCAGGTTTCTTTAAGACCCAATTTTTGGCAATTTTTTCACCACAGCACTGAACAAAGTAATGTTGGTTTTCTAAGCTATCAAACTAGTTAGAGAGTTTATTTTCCCGGATTTTAGTGATAAGAGCAAGGGGCCCTAAGAAACAAAGCTCTGATGGGAAACAGCTGGTGCTCAGCACACCCAACAGTACTGAGTCACAGGAAACCAGCAGGACTTTGCAGGGGGCAAAGGGTAGGGTAGGGCAGCTGTAAGACACCCCCAAACCCAAGGATAATTAATTCCCTTTTTTCTAGGTAATTTTATGATACTCAGCACCATATGATGACTTTTTAGTCAGCCTAGATGGTAACTACGTCTGCTACTCTTAAGAACCATTATAAGAGTAAAATACAATCCAGCAACTGTTATTTGAAAAGCACCTCTGATGTCACTCAGTCCTAAACTGGCACAATGTTTGCAAAGAGATATTTAAATCTGATTTTCACTTTTTCTACAGATTCCAATGTAGACTAACACATAATTAGAAAATTTTAGACGAAATTAAAATGCAGTATCTAACTATACACCTCACAAGGCAACAGTAAAAAAGTGAATGTATTACTCAGTTTGGAGTAGTAAAGAAACCACTAGCATAAAATTCAGTTTCTGAATTAAAGCCAGACATTCTTCTCAGGGAAGAATTCATTTGGTTTTTAAGTATGCAGTGTCCTACTGCATCACCTAGGCATTCATAAATTACACTGATATCATGTAAACAAAATGAAATATTAATCACAGCAGTCCTGACCATCTGATAATTTCTATCTTTACCAGTGTAATTATATTTACTTAGACAACTACAACAATGACCACGTTCAACAACAATTACTTTAGTTCTGTGTGTCTGTGGGATGATGGGTAGGGTTAAATCTAGAGGAAATTCAGAATT